ACCCTAAATTGTTTGAACTCAGGGTGGTCATGGGGTGGGTTGACTGCTACGCACCGATGCGAGCGGCCTGGGTGTGTCCCACACCAGCGAGCATCCTATGCCGTTACCACACCCTTACCGCTAAACCCTGAACCCTAAACCATAAACCCTAAGCCCTAAACCCTAACCCCTTAGCCCCCTTGGCTCCTGTCGATCAACATCGTGTGGTTGGTGCTTTGGAAGGGTGGGCGACCAACCTTGGTAGGCACAGGGTTTAGGGTTAAGGGCTTAGGGTTTAGGGACAGGGATGTGATTGGAAGGTTTTCATAGCAATCCCGACACATCCCCAGACCCCCAGGGTGCAAAGCATCCACAGGAAATCATGCAGCAAGCAGACCGTGCAAGTTGTTTGCGCTCTTGCAGCTTGCGCTCTCAAACCTTAGTGCTCTGCCATCATCTCATAAAGCAGGATGCCCACGCTCCAAATGTCGAGGGTGTGATTGTGCCCGCTTCCCTGTGGCAAAAAGCGTGACATGCTCTTCCTAAGCAAGGGACAAGTCCAGTTTCATTTGCCTGAAGGTGCTCGTCCAAAACATGGTCCACTCTTCAGGAGGTCTACTAGAAATTACCGCAACTGGTGGTTTTGAGTCGCTGGCAGCAAGTGTCCCGACCCCTGGGCCTGGATCATCTCTGGTGCCAAGTAGTCCATTGTGCCACAAAACGTGGTCCGGAGAACATTCGTCGCAGCACACCTGCGCAAGAGGATGAAGTAGGATCCCTCTTACATGCCGTGTTCTCTTAGTCTTCCAGCAGAACAACAAGGAATGAGCTTGGTCAGACCCAGTTACTATCAAGCCCTAGAAGCTAAGTAAACATAAGTAAACCATGTAATCCCCAACAGGAACCCGCAATCCTCATGTGAACTCCACATATCTATCTAACTGTCCATCCATCTACGTACTTGTGCCTGGAATCTTGGTGGCCCATTGTGTTGAGGAAGCTCCCACTTACCCTCCGCACCAATTGCCGCCCTCACCGAGCTGAGCTGGGTACCATCCGAAATCCCCGATCTTCAGCACGTCATCGTGCGTGACCAGCAAGTTCTGCATTCAAAAAGGGTCTAGGGGGGGCTTGGGTGGTTCCTGGTTAGGAGGGCGGGAGTGGATTGTAGAGATGATGCTACAGAATTGTCTAGGACTTCTTGAGGGATCCACTCCCTCAATCAGGTCTCAACAAAAGGTAGTTGGATTTCTACATCCGCTACCGAGGCGGACCTTGATTTCACTCTCAGAAGCTGGAATTCCCATTCGATGAGATGCTCTGCTCAATGCCCTCACGGCCTCTGGCTTGAGGTCTCTGTGCACAATTTGGTGCGAGTGGAGGTACTTCAGCCCGCGTACCAACTGGCGAGAAGTCAGCACAGCTTACTAAGACTGCTACCTCTGCTTCCCGCCCCGACAGGAAAAGGTCAGCTGTTGGTGATGTCACAGGCTAGCCAGAGAGCCATGAGACATGTCAAACTGCCAGCTGTTGCCATTGCCTGATCTGTCCTGACCTATAGGCTGGCAAGCGAAAGTCCTGACCTGAACAAAGAAGTGCTTTGACATCTGCTCACTGAACTTGCGGCCCTTCTGTGTCCTGACGAGCAAACCGCTCATACCAGTCCAAAGTCCGAAGTTCTGCCCCCGACCCACCATGACCGGCATGACTCAAAACTTTCAAACTAGAGGTTCAGCTCAGCTCAGCTCAGCTCATGAGACTTTATTCTTCAGCATCACCAGCAGCTGCGGCTTATCAACTCTGGATAGCTAAAATCTGCACAGCGTTTGCACTGCTCAAGGCAGTCGCTCTCTCTCTCGAAAAAAGCTCCCAGACTCCCAGACACACATTATTATTACTATTACTATTATTATTACGATTATTACTGTTACTGTTATTATTACGATTATTACTATTACTGTTATTATTACTATTACTATTTCTATTTCTATCATCTTAGACACACACACCCAGGAGGTCCGTAGGAGCTGATAGAGCTCCCCTTTCGCGCAGTACTCCAGCAGCAAGTACACCGTGTCATCATCCTTCAGGCATGTGATGATACTGACACCGATAGCTTCTCAGACGTTAGGGTGCCGCTAGAGATTGTCCTGCAGATGTCTCTGCAAGCATCACTATTATGAGTAATGTTCCATCCTAGTATTATTGCTATTCTTACTACGATCATCACTACTATTCAGACTATTAATTCTTACTATTCTTATTCCTACTATTATAGTCCCCCTTAAGAAGATAGAATATGGGGTACATGGGGATCTTACTATGATATACCCAAAGCCATATTCTATCTACTTAAGGGGGACTATATGCTCAGGTGTTATATCATCTCGGCCTCGAAGTGCTTGTAGAGTCGAAGCACATTCTCATGCTTCAGAGTCCGCTGGACCTGAATTTCTCTCTCCACCTGCGCCAAACAGACATGAAGAACTGAATAATGTAAGCCATAGTCTAAAGTCCTTGTATCCCCCCTTAATAGAGGCCCATGACACTCCCCTATATAATCCCCTGTATAACCCCCTTCAGGAGTTTGGACCCTAAACCTTAAACCCTATATATTCCCCTATGTAAACCCTTTAGGAGGTTAGACTGTAGAATTTAGGGCGCAAAGGAAGCAAAAGCCAGACCTGCTCCACCAGCTGTCCGTTGACCACCTCACATTGGCATCTCTTGGGCTCGGACAGGCATAACGGCATAACACTGTTAGGGTTTAGGGTAATATCAATAATTTGACTACTGCTACTATTAGTACTATTACTTTTACTACTATGACGACGGCGACTAGTACTACTAGTACTACTAGTACTACTACTACTACGACGACTAC